TTGTCCGCACTTTAAAAGAAATGGGAATAGTTCATGACCACTGTCATGGTACTCTATCCTCTCTACAAAACTTCCATAAATTGTAAAGCTCTAATATAATTAAAGCTTAAATTGCTTAAAAAGTCTACTTCTTAGCAATGCACTTTAAGTATAAATTTTGTTATTAAGCAATGTATTTGTAGCATAACAGCGCCTAGAGCAGGCATGGATAGGCGCTATATAAATATTTATTTATTATTATTATTTATTATAACATCTTGTTTTTTCACTTTTTGACCTTTTCCGTATTATTGCCCTCACTTTAAAGAAATGGGAATAGTTCATGACCACTGTCATGGTTCTCTATCCTCTCTACATTTTCTATTCAAATTATCAAATTAATTCAAATCATCAAGTTATTCAATGTATTTTAATGTACTCTTCATAATAATGTGAACTCTGAAGTCAAAAATCCAGCTAACAAGTTACGTTACTTGCTGCTGTCAATCATGAAAAATATCTATGAGCACTGAAAAAAGAAACAAAAATGAATCCAAATCTATAACTCACAACCACAGACATGATTTTTAAACCCACTGCAATCTTCCATAGGAAAAACGATGGCGACTGATACTACGATTATCAGTTGAGTAACACACGATAGAGCTTTGGTGACCAGGTTTCGGACTTCAAATTACAGTGTTGCCAGAGGCAACTTTCCTCATTTCCAATGGTAACAATATTGTCGCTTGCAATTTTGTGTTCTTTGCTGCCAATGACATCAAAGGCTGACAAGTTGCCACTGGAAACGAAGCCAGATGCCCTTGACAACAACCCACATTACTGGTAAACATTAAAACCTGGTCGTGCCTTACTAAACTCATAATTGAAGTACATTTACCCATAATTCTTAGCACACAAAAACTTAAAAAACGCTCATAAAAACATTGAGAAAAGTTCTAAGACCTTCAAACCTAACATACACAATGTCATTACAACAGGGACAAATAAATTGCAAAAATATGGCTTTCCTTGTACTTTATGGGCTGTGTACGGCTTGCATGGTATTGTGGTAAAATGTTCCATCTTTTTTCCTACGGAGAATTACATTGTTTTTCCGGAGAGGTCCTCCAAGATGACAGACAGTGGACAGTGGCAGAAAATACCAGCTTCAGTTAAGATTTGAATATTTTAGAGTGCAATGATTTTGAAAAACAGAAAAAAGTATTTTTGTTCTATCTCTATCAACTACCCCTTATGACAAACATCTTTTTTTGTTAAACAAGATGAACATTTTTATCACATGTGATAAGCTTGAAAATAGTTAAGATGGCCACAANGATGAAACGAGAATAACGAATATTAAGATACAAACAAACCTTGTTTATTGTACGAGTCTTCATCGTGGTGAGGACTGGGAAAGACAACCAGCGCAAAAAAGACACCAAATATAACAAGGAACGCCAGAGACACACACGTTAACTGACAAAAATTGGTATCTCTCTCATTTTCGTCCACAACAGTAGTTGGAGGAGGAATTTTGGGGTCGTCGTCAAAGAGTTTAACCTTATCTTCAGGCGAACCCATCACAAAATTAAAAATCGCCCAGAAGCGAGCTTTGTGCTGCGGAAACGTCCTCTTCGATTGGTAAGCGCGCGTGACTTGTAAGCCTTCCTCTGTGCTCCGCCTCCTCTTACTATCATTTTGACTGTAAAATCTTTTTTGATTGGTGAAAAAGTAACCAATCAACAGTGAGCTCTCCTTAATAGACGAGTGGCGTTATGGGTAATGGTAACCAAAAACATGGCGGACATAAATGCTAAACAAGGTTGGAATTTATATTATGGAGCTGTTTTCCTTCGCTTCTAATGGTTGTATCTACTGTAAAGCCATATTTAT